ATGGGCAAAAAACTCCAGGACTGTATTTGTGACTAATTGTATAACAGGTTATTTTAGTTTCTGTTCTGTGGAAAGTGTAAAGCATTCCAACAAAGGGTTTTACTGTAGACCTTTTTTCACCCATGCTGTTGATTGCTAAATGTAATAGTCTGATCATGACGCTGAATAAATGTGTCTTTTTTTTTCTTTTTTTTTTCTATTTTCTTTTTTTTTTTTTTTTTTTCTTTTTAAATGTGCTGTGTAAAGTTAGTCTACTCTGAAGCCATCTTGGTAAACTTCCCCAACAGTGTGAAGTTAGAATTCCTTCAGGGTGGTGCCAAGTTCCATTTGGAATTTATTTATAATTGCTTGGGTGGAGAAGCCATTGTCTTCAAAAAACCTTGGTGTAGTTAAACTGCCAGTTACTGTTGTGACTTTAATGAGTTTTACCATTAAAAGGGTCATCCAAGCAAAGTCACAGTTTGGTTACAATAAATGGTTGTTGGCACACCCTATGCAATATCAAAATTGAATAATGGTATCAGAAAAAATAACAGATGGGAATGAAGCTTGTGTATCATCCATTATCATGTGTAAATCAATAAACGATTTAATCCTCTTGAAAAAAAAAAAAAAAAAAAAAGAGTTTATGAGTTTATTAGAAATAAAGGGATAGAGTGCGCAGGCCTGTGGGAGAGACACGTGCGTGGGGACTGGGAAGCATGGCGCTCCACTTTAAAACCCGCTGGGGGCGTGGCCAGGTCACATCACTACTCCACACATGTGCGTAGATCACATGGTCACGTTGCGCGCTTACATGACCATGTAACGTCACAGACCCTGATCACGCGAGACCCCTTGGCCTGGAACTTGCTAGGCGGAGATGTCCGGGTCCGCCGGGTAACCTGGCTACGAGAGACGCTTTGATCCAGAAATGGCTAGGCAGAAGTGTCCGCCTGGTAAATAAACCCTTCAATAGGTACACTAACTCTACCAATGTTGTACAAGTGCAGTAATTTAACCAATGTTGATAAACCAACTACCCCACCACAGGGTTGGGCTGAATTAATGAGGGCAATACAAAGTAACTTGTGGGCTGAAAAGTCCTTTTGTAGAGAATTGAAGCATCAGGGCCGGAGAGACGGCTCAGCAGTTAAGAGTGCTCGCTTGTCCAGAGAATCTGAGTTCTGGTCATAGCCCCCACATCAGGCAGCTCACATCTGCCAGGAACTCCAGATCCAGGGGACCTGATGCCATGTTCTGTTCTCCACAGGTACTGACACACTTACACACACACACACACACACACACACACACACACACACACACACACAAATACCTCTTTACGTAAATAGAAGTTTAACATTAAAAATAGAGTTGAATTATCATTGGAAATCACGATTTTTTTTTCTGGGCTAACAGATGGAAACAGCATTGTCCTCTGGGAAAATGTAAATTACTGATCAATTCAATTTTTAAATGAAATTGCCTTTTCATTCTAGATTGCTGTTTTAGAAATGGGAATGTAGTACTACTTTGTTTGGGTTTCCAGTGGTAATGTTTTTCCAGGATTCTGGGTGAGTGGATGTGACTCAGGCATGAGAAATACTAAGTTCCCTTTAAAGTTTCTTGGTAATTCAGAAATTAGGGTTCCACACAGAGAATGGGAGTTATATTATGTCATACCTAAGACTCAAATTCTGTGCAACACAGACTTGGATATTCTTGAAAATTTCCTCTTAGAAGAGAAATATTGGTAGCATAGCCCGAGGTCAAGAACAAATGTAAGACCCAAACCAAGTCAGCAGCAGGCTTGTGATTCTCACATCTGGAAGCCTCTGTCTATGGTGCCTCCAGGCAGCATAGTATTGAATGTTCCTCTCTCTGATTTTTTTTAATATTCATGAAACCCATGAACGTTTTCTCACTGTGAAAGAATCAAACTTTTAAAATGGTTTTTATAATACCCTTCTATTAAAGTCTAGCAGGTGTTCTGTTTATTCCTAGATATACCTATGTTGTGTGCTATTGTGAATGTTTCTCCTGTTATGATCATGCTTTCTAATTGATCATCGCCAGTGTTAAGAAAACCATGTCTTTGTCTGTCGACTTCTATAGGTGATTGCCATTATTTATTGTGAAAGCTCCCCTTAACTACTAATAGTTTTTACTCTTATTATTTTCTTAGTAGAAACATTCACATTGTTTTTAAATTAGTTGGGGAGATTTTAGCTAAATTCTACCTCTAAAGTTTTCAGAGACCAACAAAACAGTGGTCATTCTACAAGACTTGCATGATGCTGGCCATATTGGGAATACTGATAGCATTCCCCTGAAAATAAAATAAAAATCTGCAATTTGCTTATTCTGTTAAGAAGTCTAGTGAAAATCACACCCTATTTTTTTTTCTTTTTTGCAGAGGTCTATCCTATTCCTCCCACATGCCTCCAAAAAATAAAAGGAATTCTCAACTCATGCTGTTTTCAATTGCTGTTGCTACTGCAGTCACCACTGATGCTTACAGTCAAGGATAAGAAACCGACAGAGAGAAGGAAGGCATCAGGAAAACTGCATGAGAACATGTGTGAGGAACTCATTATCAGCCTGCTGACCACACAGCTTGTTTCTATTCTTAACTAGGGCTGGCCTTCCACACAAGAGCACCCTCTGGGTCAGGGTGTGCTTCCCCAGCCTAGGAAACTCTGCAGCAGACTTCTTTTGAATTGCCCAGCCCTTCAGCTGCAAGGCCAAGGTTCCTGTGGAAGGGAATTCCTGAGGCTTTGATTGTTGCTAACTTCCCTTTCCAAAACGCATTGCTTCATAGACAGAAATGCTTTCTCTGTTCCGAACACCCAAAAGATCTTAGAAAAAGAAATCAGGTCAACAACTTTTGGGTGGTATTTTCTGTTTTCTTTGTTACAAATGAAAGGCTCATTTCCTTTCATTTGTTAAGGGTGAGTCTATTTGGGCTCTAAACACACACACACACACACACACACACACACACACACACACACACACACAAAGACTCGTGAATGATATGGTATCACAGTCTATCTTCGTCAATCCATTGAGAATAGATTGGTTTTCTCTCTTTGTCGTCCCTGACTGCCTGAGCTCAGCTTCCTAGAACACTATAGACTGGGAAGGGTGGTAGGATGCCTGACAATCATTGCTGTCTTTTAGTATAATTGGCTTTTGGTTTCTGAGGTTGGCTATACTACCTTAGAGGTTCTGTTCCTTTGTAGATGAGTACAGTTGCAAAATGTAAAGTGTTTACTTATTTTTAACATAGAACAACAAATGCCCAACACATTAAGAGTTCTCAAAATAAGATAGCCTTAATGGGAAACATGGAATGTGTTCATTTATATCCTAAATAAACCTTAAGCTACCCCAATGTCTAGCTGGAAACTAGTTCTTGACCAATATTTTCTTGGGATAATGATTAACAGGGCTCTTTAATTATTACTGACTTTTGAGTTTCAGTCTGGGTACCAGTGTCTACAGTTGATAGTTTCTAGCAGTGAGATATTTCTGTAAGACTTGTAAGTAAAAGGCATCCTGAAAATAAAAAAGGAACCCAAGCCAGCTCACAATATAGTGCACTCAGAACACACCATTGCAGTTCTGATTGTCCTCATTGTTTATAAGATCATCAATAAAATATGAGACAGGTATTTCCAGATGTAAACAGAGTTTCTCATACACAGATCAAGTATGTCTGTATGTCTATGGGTTGAAAAATAATGTGAATGCTGCTGGTATTCCCTGAAGGGCAGTTTTATATTTTTTGTAACATTGAATGATATCACAACCTAAAAGTTAGACTTCGCAAAGTTTTTAAGAAACAGTTAAGAAAATAGTGACATGCATCTCAAAGCATTATCCAGAAACCTTGCAGCGACTGCAGTTGAGAGGAAAAAAAGGCTCAGCGGCATTGTGGGATGTGTGATAAAAACTCAAGTCACTCTGTTTCCATATGCACACATTTCTAGTATTTTACTAATCTACAGACAAAGCTCATTCTAACTACCCACTGATATGACTCAACGTGCTTAGTCACCTACAACTACCAAGTAAGCAGAGAAAGGAGAATTCACTTGGCATATTAGCCTATCAAATCATTTTCATAAACTAACACGATGACCAATGACAAGGAATTCTCACAATTCATTTAGAAGAATACGTTGTTCTTATTAATTTTCCAGTTTGTACAAATCATATGTCTATGTTCATGATGTTACTCTCCACTTGGTTCCCAGCTCAACATATTTCTAGACATGTGTGCCAGCACAAGGTACTGAACCACCGGTGCTTTGAGTTTCCTCATATGTGAAATGAAGGCAGTTATGGTACCTGTCTACGAAGGTGGTGAGAGCCCAGAGAATAAGCATGTAAAGCAGTTCCAAGGACACGATGAACATTTTAATAATTTAGGAGAAAACATAACATCAGAGGGTTTGGTGAACAGCACTGATACTTGGGATTTCGAATGAATAACAAAACAATGAGATTGTTCATTAAAGATGGAAATGATTTAAGTAGGAGGTAGTGTTGATAGTTCCCAGTTAGACTTACCTTGTCTCTGTCCAATAATGTCTTGCATCAGACTCTGACATGAATTTCAATGCCTATTCATTTTACACAAGACTCCTCTAATACTTTGTCAAGAATGATGGCTGCATGGCAAGTGAACTATTATCAAAGACTTTTAAAATTATTGCAATAGTTTCTCAGTAAGGTATGGAATTTATAGGCTTATCAGATTTCAAATCTAAATGATTATCAGATATAATGGTTTCTTTTTATGTGTAATATATACTTTGATTATTGTTTGTTAAGTGAATCTGGCAAAAAAAGAAAAAAGAACTTCTGCAGAAACTATATGGTTAAAATAACCATGTGGGTCATCTGCACTAAATGTATCATTTATTTAACATTGACTGCTATTGCCTTATTAAAAACTACGTAAAGAATAAAGCTCTCAGGGAAAGTAAGCTATTTAAAATTACTTACAATAGAAGTGAGATTTAAAGATTAAAATGTATCATACACATTTAAATATGAAAGAAAACTTAGAATCCATGCAATCTAACCTCCATAGTTTTATACTTGCTTTATGTGGGATTCTCAATAAGTGAGTCTAAATTAACTAAGGAACAGTTAAAAACAGAGTCTCAACAAGAAACCATGACCCTAAGCATTCTGTCCAGTGGTTTTAAACTATTCCATGTAGCTTCTTTCTTGCAAAGTTAACCTAACTTGCTGATTAAATTGAATGATGTTTCATTTACACAAGGTAGGTCGCAAAAACGTTAGGTCGTCCCTGATCAACACTGTCTATTCTGGCTCTTTGTCTTTTATGTATATTTCAAATTATTTATTGTACAGAGATTCACAATGATTTGTGTCAGCCAGGATTCAGAGTGAACCAGGACACAGCTGCAAAATTAAGGAAATCATTGGTAACAACATTAAAATTTCCCCCACAATAGCTTAACAAAATGGAAATGAGAGTGGGATTTTTTTTGCCTGTAATCTTTTCCTTCTGTATTATTGACCCAAATCACATTGTCATCTTCCTTCCTTGAAGACGACCAGATCATATCTCTGCTGTTAGCACTTCTTAGAGACGAGTATTTGAAAATGCCAGCTTGAACTTCAGTGCTGTCAGTCTTAACCAGTGCTCTAAATAGCACGGCAGTGCAGGGTACGGCACATGGTTACAGGGGGAAAGCACTTCTTTCTTTACGTTCCTAAAGGATTTGGTGGGGGACTATGAACTCATTGACTCACTGTCTTCCTGTCCAAGGATCTGCCTTGTGAGACAGGATGCTTGGCGTTTGATTGAGAACTGTTTCTTGAAGGTAGTCCAGGCTCATGGGTACTGCATTAAATCCACAAATGGCACTGCCCTCTGCTTCAACACGATGGCATATCATAGGCCAGGCTGTTTTCCTGTGGAATGTCTATTAATGCTGAGGAGCCAAAATGTCCCTTACAAATCAATACTAGTGAGAAGAGTTCAGATGCTGGAGAGAGAAACAGTGTACCAAGTTACTTAATTGCCCATCATTAATTCCTCCTTCCTGGCTCAGAGATTGGGTAGTACTGGGACTAGTTAGTCTTATCCCCACATTGCCTGGTAAACTTCCTTTCACAAAAACCCCTTATCTCTCAAGTCTTTCTATCTTTCCTCAGGCAATCAGTAACTCTCTTCTCTATGACTTAGAAATATAGTGAAGACCAGGTTAGAAATATTTGCCATCTTGTGTCAGTGTTAGTCATTTAATTATTAACTTACCTTCTCTGGACCCCACTCGAGCACAGTAACTGGGTCTTACTTATCTGTGTATGCCTCAGACACACATAATCAAACACACCAAAATGACCTCACAATTTCTCATCTAAAACTCTAAGGTCCCGGCTGGGGAGATGGCTTCATAGGTAAAGGGCTTGCTAGAAGCACCAGGACCTGAGTTGAATTCTATGAATTTCCAGAACTGATACTAAAAACCTAGGATGCAGCCATTTGCTTATAATTCCAATACTAGGGAGTCAGAGATGGGGCATCCTTGGGAATCATTGGCCAGCCAGCCTAGCCAGGTTGGTGAGCTCCAGGTTCAGTGAGAAGCACTGTCTCGAAGAGTAAGATGGCATGAGGTTGAAGAATACACCCAGCATCAATTAACTGATGGTCTCCACACATATGTATGCACCTGTGCACACACATGTACATGGACATATCCCTCCCAATGAACAAACTAAAAATAAATAAATAAGGCAAAATTCAGAGTTTTAAATGAATTTTAGAATGTGTTCATCTGTGATTGATACATTATTTAATATTCTCACATGGTCTAGATCAGCCTCCCCCCAGTAAAATACCTTCACACTATATACTCTATAGATGTTCATCCTCAATACAAATAAAGATACAATGGCCTCAGCTGGATGTGATGGCGCACACCTTTAATCCCAGCACTCAGGAGGCAGAAGCAGGCAGATCTCTGTGAGTTCAAGGCCAGCCTAGTCTAGAGAATTCCAGGACAGCTAGGGCTATTACACAGAGAAACCTTGTCTCAAAAACAATAACAAAGACATAATGGCCTCATAAACTCAACTTTGTCACCACGTGTGTTTGTTACAAACTTGTGAAAATTATTTCCTTTTTATAGTTTTTTTTTAATTTTAGAATTGTGAGGAAGTAATTACAGACATGCCTGGTCAACTGAGGTGCTTCACAGAGCCTGCATCTTTGAATGTGATGGATTTGGAACACAGTGTTACTTTATCTTGTTTAAAAACATTGTCACTGTGCCCATTATTTGAATTTAGCTCTATTAACTAACAATCTCTTTGCTCTTACAAAAAGATAAATTGGCTTGTTTTTATTTATCTTCTTAATGAGTTATAGTAACTGGAGGGATAAAAACTGACCAAAAAAATCAAATTATTCAAACTCTGGGGAGGAGCTAAACATATGCTTCGGTTGGTAGAAGGATTGCCCAGCATGCCCAATGCCCAGGGTTAGCTCCACAGCACTACACAAACCAAAGGTGGTACACACCTGTCATCCTAGCATCGGGGTGGAGGTAAATGGGTGAGTAGTTAAAAGCTAGCCTTGGCTACATAGTGACTTTGAGGTCCTGTCTCAAAACAGAACAAAAGTTGGGTTAAGAGTAAATTCTTAAAATAATTGAGAAAATGTCAGATTATTTGTAAGGTTAATATCAATTAAGGGCTGGAGAGATGGCTTGTCAGTTAAGAGCATGTACAGCTCTTACAGGGGACCTGAGCTCAGATCCTAGCATTCTCATGAGGTTGCTCACAACTGCTTATAACTCCAGCTCAAGACAATACAACATCTTCTTCTTGCTTCTATGGGCAACTGCATTCATGCACATACTTACACATGGACATACTTATCAAAAATAAAAACAAATATTTTAAAGTATCAATTAACATCACATTATGATTCATCTTGTTTCTATTTTCAATACCTATGTTTGAGATAGTTTTTATAGTCTGTTTTTTGAAATACAGGTCTTATTCAAGTGGATGAGGACAGGAAATGCTTACCACCAGAAAAGACAACCTGTTACCAACAGAAGACCGGCTGAGCTACAGAGAAGTATGGGAATCCAATGTAGGGCCCATAGGGTTTAGGATTAGCTTGTATGGTACCTAGCCCTGAGTGATCACATGAGTTGACTGGGATCCAGTGAAAGCTCATCAGACTTTCACTGGCTGCTGAGCTCTGGGTTAGTTAGTTTACATGTGAAGACCACTCAACTCACAAGATAGTCATTTTTTCTGTCTCCAAGATTGTTGCCAAAACAGCAGGAGTGTTAGCTTCCTTTAATCATCATGGAAGTTCAATGACTTGATATAAATACTTTCCAAATAAAACTTCTTCTCTTCAGTTAATTAGTTAATTTTGAATTATTTCACATGTAATTATGTGTATGTTTGTGCATGTGTGTGTGGGGGGTGGTCACAGAGGCCAGAGGAGGGCTGCACTAGGCTTTTTCTTTTTGGGCCATCAACCAGCTCTGAAATCAAGACATGTGTTCAAATCTTAGATGGTCTTCTAATAAAAAACCCAGTGCCAGATATCGGGGTGAAAGATCAGAGAAGCAGAGCAGCCAGCGACCAGTTCTTACCTCTACAAAATCCTCAGCCTTAAGAGAGTAAGTTCCTGTTTCCTCACACCTTATATACTTCTCTCTGCCCAGCCATGTCACTTCCTGGGATTAAAGGCATGTGGACTTCCTAGTACTGGGATTAAAGGCATGTGCCACCACTGCCTGGCTCTGTTTCCAGTGTGGCCTTGAACTCATAGAGATCCAGACAGATCTCTGCCTCCCAAGTGATAGGATGAAGGGTGTGTACCACCACTGTTTGACCTCTTTGTCTAATCTGGTGGCTGGCTCTGTCCTCCCATGATCCCCGGGCAAATTCATTAGGGTACACAATATATCACCACAGACACGGAGACTTCATATTAGTTATGAATGCTTGGCCTTAGCTCATATTTTAACCTGTTTTTCTTTATCTACATTTTGCCTCAGGACTTTTTACCTTCTTTCTTTCTGTATGTCTTACTTTCCTGCTGTCTCTATGTCTGACTGGCTGGTGGCTGCCTGGCTTCTGGCCCCTCTTTTTCACCTCGTTCTCTTCTCTTTCTCCTCTCTCCTTTCCTATTTATTCTCTCTGTCTGCCAACCACACCCATCTGTCTCCTGCCCAGCTGTTGGCTGGTCAGATTTTTATTAGACCAATCAGGCGCCATAGGCAGGCAAGGTGAAACAAATGCAATGCAACCCATCTTTATATAATTAAACAAATGTAGCATAAACAAATGTAACCTGCCTTTACACAGTTAAAGTAATATTCCACAGCATAAACAAATGTAACACATGTTTACATAGTTAAAGTAATATTCTACAACAGAAGGTGTGGTATCCACTGGAGCTGGAATTACAGGAGAGCCACTTGATGTGGGTACTAGGAATGGAAAGAATCAGGTTCCTCTGGACAAATAGCAAGCACTGTTAATTACTAAGCCATCTCTCCAGTCCCCAGTTTTATATTTTGATTGAAGCATAGCATAGGTTCATATTTCTGTGGTACAATGTGATGTTTTATTTTCTACAAACAATACAACTTTGCAGCAGAAGAGTAACTCCTGGCCTTCTGTGGCACAATAGTGAATATAGTTAATGATAGGTTATCTCTCTCAAAAGTGCTAGAAGGGAGGATTTTTAGACTGGTGAGAGTGTTCATACAATGAGGTGTTTGCAAGGCAAGAATGTGAATAGGAGTTCAGATCCCTGGGATTTATGTGAAATTCCACCCACTTGAAATTCCAGGGCTCAAGAGACAGAGACAGAGCATCCCCAAAGCAAGCTGGCTAGTGTATCTTCTGCATTCAATTCCCAGATCCTGCCTCAATAAATAAGGTTGAGAGCAATGGTGGAAGAATCTTGAGGTACCTGATGTCTTCCTTGGGCCTATGTGGAACCCTCCCCATCCCCCCTCACACACAACATGCACATACACATGTACACACACCACACAGCAGACACATGAAACAGAGAGAGATTTTCAATGTGTTTACTAAATGAAGATTTTCTGTGAAGCAAGAGTTCAGCTGTATTAGACTTTGTTTGCTTTGACACAGGGTATCATGTAGCCCAGTGGCCTCAAACTGGCTGTGCAGTAACAAACTTGAATTCCTTCTCCTGCCTCTATTTCCCATGTCTTGGGATCACAAGTCACATTTGATTCAGCAACTATTTTAAAACCAATTTGTCTTCATTCATCTTGTGGAGATGATCTGTTTGCTTCTTAATAACTCATTTTATAGACACCCATAGCACTTTGCCCTTTAATATCATGTTCACTATTATAATACTGCAAAAATAAAATTCAGTAAAAACAGATGCCCCCTTTTACAATATCAGTGCTGTGTCAGATATTTCCAAATGCAAAGTATCTTCCCAGCACGATAAAATTTCCAATAAAGATGTATCCTCCTGATTATCAGAGGATGCCGACTAGCCTGAGATGAAAGGACCAGTGTCTGTGTGTTTTGCTTCATTTCCAAATACCGCTGCCATCAGTCTCTCACAGAGCACCCCCAGGGTGTTTGCTCTTCTGTAATGGAGCCCAAGTGACTTCTCAGGGCTCTGGGCAATGCAGTCTGTTTGTTCCTATCGGATTCCAGCTCTGGCGAGAATATTGAGCTCCAAGTCAGGTTGAAATCTTTATTTACTTAATATTCTCAGTGTCAAAGCAAACAAAGAATCCAATTAAATGATATCTTTACTGGTGCCAACCTTGAAGATCAGTCATGGTGGAGTGGAAGTGTTATTGAACTTGAGGGTCACAGCTAGTGTTCCAAGCCAGGTTCAGCCACCTAACCTCAATAAGCTAATTAAAGAAGCCAAATTAATAGCACAAATCAGGAAAAGGAGATTTACTCAATGTGGTTACACTGGGAAGGGCAAAGAGCTCCCGCAAAACCCCATCTGTCTCCAGTCTTTTGAAGTTAGACTAGAGTTTAAATACAGGGCCAAGGGGGGTGATGGGAAGAGTTGGAGGAGGGGAAAGGATATAATCTGAAAATAAATAAATCTGAATAAATAGAGGGCCAAGGATACACAGGTAGGCAGAAGTTTCTGTCCTACAAGCCGTCCCCAAGTAACCACACAGAGGCTTGGCCAATAGCTCAGGCCTGTTACTCTTACATGTCCAATTAACCCATGTTTTTATCTACACCTTGCCACTTGGCTTGGTCCCTTTTCTTAGTCCATCTTGCTTCCCTCCGCTCTGCTTGACACTCTTCTGACTCTGCCCGAATTCTTCCCAGCATTCTGTTCTGCCCTGAAAATCCCGCCTAGCTATCAGCCAATCAGCTTTTTATTAACAATGAGAGCAACACATCTTCACAATGTAGAGAAATTCCACAGCATAGTCACATCCAAGCAGTCCAGGTCAAGGTGGGGTACCGCCGACAACTGACCCATCCTGAGTTTCAGTTGCATTCTGTAAGGTGTTCTGAAGAGTTGCCGTAACGAATGTTCAATAAACTACCTAGGAATCCTTAAGTCCTACTGAGTTGTCACATAATGTGAGCCAACACAGGAAAAAAACTAGGGAGAGAAGTTTCTTTTATTGTATAGGTGAATAAATATGTAAATCCTCTATATGGTTAGCTCTACTTCCTTGTGTGAGACTTCTGGAAAGGGTGAGATGATAGAAGAAAAGGGAGAGAAGGTTACATTGGTGACCTAGTTCTTCCAAGTGACATGTGGAAGAAATGTAGATCAATGTTAAGATAGACAGATGATGATAGACACAGATCGGTGGACAGCGACATACATAGATAGATGTAAACTCATTTTTTCACGAGTGTCTGAAAACCAGTCATGTGATCTTATAACTAAATGCTAACTTATGTAAATCCTTTACTTAGAAAAAGAGGGAAGAAAAGGAATGAAGAAAACAAAAGAGAGTTTTCAAACGGTGAAAATTTAAAAAAAATAGTGATTTTATTTTATCTCGTATATTAATTTAGGATAAGTAATATCTGTAATATCTCACCTTAAGTTAGACTGTGTGTGTGTGTGTGTGTGTGTGTGTGTGTGTGTGTCCGGAGTCTTTATCAGCTGTATGAGCTAAAAAATAGGAATGGACTGGGGTTTTTGCTATCATACTATATGAAATCTTCAGAAACAAAGAGTTTTTGGTAGCTCTATTGAACAGGCAGAAAACTTCATAATTCATAAATAGAAGCAAACACACCTTCCATGGGAAACATAAAGGAGCCACAGTGACCCTTTCCCCTAAAATAATATACGTTTGGTACATTTTCCTTGGCTGGGTTAATTGTGTAACAAGGTTGATAAAATGAGTTCTTGTAATCTACACAATACTCAAAAGCATTAAAAATAAAGATCGAGTGTGTTCTGCTCAACACGACAATAGCTTTCTCCCTCGCCATCAACCCGGGCTGCATCACACAGGCATCATGGCTCCAGCCCACGGATACTCTAATAAGGAACTTCAGCATAGGCTGGAACAGAGGCATGTGATGTGAAGTCTGGGAGACTCCATGTTATTTGTGACAAAAAAGAGCCGTTCGCAATTCACAATCTGTTTTTCTTGATAATTTCTATTTTCTATTATAGCAAAACCTGTAATGCACTTTATTTCCATCAGTGGAATAACGAAATCTTAGGATTTTGACATTTGTTACTAAGAATTTAAAAATGTATCCCAGGCCACAACATATTTATAAATAGGTACTTGGAGACAGCTTGGAGACTAAAATCATTTTGGATTTTCTTAATTGGCTTTCGGACTTTCCTTCTAAGTAAGCCAGCATTCAATTAGTCAGTGGCATGTTTTCACAATCGTTTAACTGGCAATGGTAGAGTATGGGCTTAAAACTTAATACACCACGGGCTACAGCTGCCTGCCTGCCTCCCTGACGACCGTTCTTACTTGTTATTCATCCTTATCCCTAGCCTAGGTTCTTTTATGTCACGCTTCCCGTTGCATTTACTAACTTAATGAGCCTAAGGAAATGAAAAAGAAATGGAGTCTTAAAAATCCTCTCTGAAGGTTCTTTGGGATTCCAAGCTGGATGTGGGAGAGCCAGGAGTGTGAGCGAGTGAGCGAGCGAGCAAGCGGTCTAAAATAAGAGCTGGCAACAGAAGCTTACCAGCTGCTACACATTTGCCAGCCTTGCTACATTTTTCCTCCCTCTGGGC